TGTGCCCAGCTGTTCATAAACATGCTCTCTGGAAGCAAGCCTGAAATGGGGGAGGTAGGATTTCACTTTTCACTCTACTTCTGATTTGTTTGCATTTGTGTATAGTAAGAATATAGTCTGGATTTCTTGTGAAAAAGAGCACTTGTTTTTCTAACCAAAAGGAAAAAAAAGAGGGAGGAAGCCACTGGAGTTGGGCAGTGTGGGAAGTTCTGAAAGTGGACAAGAGCAAAAGAGCCTGCCAAGTAGTGGGAATAGCAGGAGCAAAGATGTGCAACCACAAGAGCCCCTGCAGGACTGTCGGATCAGCTCTATCAGTGTTCGGCGGGTGACTGCGAGGGGTGGGGGGTGGTAGCTGAAGATGCATCAGAACAGTGCATTGAAGCAGCCACGTTGCAAGGGTGTTGTATGCCCCTCAGGGACTGTGGGCCTCCTTGTCTTTCTCCAACTCTGGCCAAGTGCCCCATACTCTCTGTCTAGAGCATTCTGGTTTTGACTTAGGCCCCACATCCAATTCTGCCCAGACTTGTAGGTCCACCTTGGAAAAGTCAGGAGACACCTGGGAAATGAAGGCAATGACCTCTTCCAGCCTTGTTGTCCCATGGCCACCCAGAGGCCCTGGGGCAGCCACTCAACATCCCAATAAACCCTCACTGTGTACCAGCATTATGCCAGGGTCCAGGTATTTAGCCAGGAGCAGCCTCTGCCCTCCCTGAGTTGACATTTCATGGGGATGTGCACCAAAGCAAGGCCTGTTGGAGATGTTTAGAAACAGTCATCTCTCTTGACATCACTGCTTCCCAAATAAATCTTCTAGGAAGATCTTCCTCACCTCCAACTCTCCTGATACAGCTGTCAGAATCCTCAGCAAATTATTCATGACTCCACACATCAACTTTCTGGTCTGGAAGATGGGGATAATAAGAGAACCCATGCCCCAGGATGGCTATAGAGACTACATGAGCATGTAGGTGCAGAGCCCAGTAGCACAAGGTACAGCCATTCAAATCAACTGGCATTTATCAAGGGCTGCTCTGTCAGTTCCCTCTCTATAGTATACTCCAACACATACACACATACACACATGCACTGTTATAATCAATAAGAATCTTGCATCATCTGAGAGCCTGGCAACACTGTTTGGGCCTTTGCACATGCTGCTCTCTTCCTTGCATCCCCACCCCTGCCCCCAGTAGGAGTGACCCATAGCCATGCTGTTCTGTATCTTCTTAGATGTCACTTTTTCCAAGAAGCCTCCCTATCAC